GTCTCCCAAAGACTGATAACTAAATTTCCAATTGGGCCCTTATTACAACTTGCAATAAAATTAAACTAAAGTCCATTAATTGATTAATCCAAAACACAATTTGGTCAACTAACAATATTTGTTGAAGAGCTTCATTTGCTTCCATTGCTCTAGCCCTTATCATAGGTCATGTTCACATCATTCTCTCCCTCTTGAAAAGGATTTGTCCTCAAATCAGATTCGTCATCTACATTAAAAAGAGATAAGTCTGACAAATTAAATGTTGAACAAACATTATACTCACTTTTTATGGCTAAATAGCTCTGTTTCACTTCAAGTGTTTCACTCTTCTTCTTTTTTTCTCTCTTTTCTTGAAAAAAAATTTCTCTCATTCTCTTTTTATCCTCCTCTGGCATCAATTTGATGTTCAAACCTTTAAACCGGGGCTCTGAACACCAACTGATATGAATCACAAGGGTTGATTTAGGATCTTTAAGGTTAGAACCTTGTAGGAAATTTAGGAATTTAGTGATAAGGTGGAAGGAAAGAATCACTCTTTCCAAGGAGGGAAACACACAAAGGATGTGAAAGTCCTTTGATACAACCAAGAGTTCTTGAATCACTCAAGAATTTAGGAGAATCACTCTCACTAAGATAAAAAAGATAAACTCTAATATTTCTGAATAAAATTCCACTTGTTATTTCTGATAAAAATGGTTCAGCTTATAAAGAAGTTTTGCCATCAGAGTTACAAATATTCATTAAAGGAAAATAAATGCTAATAATGATTTATTAACCTAGAAATTGAAAACTACTTAATAATTGATTGTAACTGAAATTGTGGCATCCAAAAGTCAATGAGCTATGCACCCTCTTGGTCTCCCAAAGACTGATAACTAAATTTCCAATTGGGCCCTTATTACAACTTGCAATAAAATTAAACTAAAGCTCATTAATTGATTAATCCAAAACATAATTTGGTCAACCAACAATATTTGTTGAAGAACTTCATTTGCTTCCCTTGCTCTAGCTCTTATCATAGGTCATGTTCACATCATTCTCACCTAGCTTTGCATGTGGACATCTATTTTGAAAATAGACTGCGCACTGTACCGCATTTGCCCAAAAATTCTTTGACATATTATTCCCTTTCAACATAGATCGAACCATATCAAGAATGGTTTGATTCTTTCGTTCTGCTACACCATTTTGCTGCGGAGAATATGGGGCAGTCAGGAAACGTTTGATCCCATGTTCCTCACATTATTTGTTGAACTCAGTAGAAGTGAACTTGCCTCCTCTGTCAGATTGGATTTCTTTGATGACGTTGCTTGTTTCTTTCTCCACCATCACTTTGAATTTCTTGAAAGTTTCAAACACTTCTGACTTCTCCTTCAGAAAATAAACCCATGTTTTCCTTGAAAAATCATCAATGAAAGAGACGAAGTATCTCTTACCACTGAAAGATTCTGGAGTTATTGGCCCACACAAATCAGTATGGATCACTCCGAGTTGCTGCTTTGCTCGACACTCAGAACTTCTTGGGAAAGAAGTCCTTGCTTGCTTTCCAATCACACATTCTTCACAAAACTTTTTTTCGAATTTCATTTTAGGTATTTCGAGCACCATCTCCTTTTCCACCAATGCAGTCAACCCACTGAAGTGAAGATGACCAAACCAAAAATGTCACTTCATGGCCTCATCCTCCATATCAAGTTGCATGCATTTATCTTGAACTGTTTTCAGCTCAAGTTTGTACATGTGATTTTTCTTCATTTCCACCAAAACAATAAGCCTCTCAAATTTATCCTTCAGTTGTAGTTCTCGGTCCTTCATCAGAATCGAGTACCCCTTCTCCATTAACTGTCTCATGCTCAATATGTTGCTTTTGAGATCAGGTACGTAGTATACATCTCTGATCTCTCTGATTTGCCCATTTTTTTGTTGATACCATATCGTTCCTTGACCTTTGACAGCTACTTTCGAAGCATCACCGAAAGAAACAAATTCGGACTCCACCTTTGAAAGTATTCTGAATAAGCGCTCGTCACCACACATGTGGTTATTAGCGCCGGTGTCCAAGTATCAAACCGAGTTATTAGAACAGTTCGGTTTGACCTCAGTTTCTGAAATATTTGTCACCATCAACAATCCTTGATCTTCTTCCTCAGCAAGAAAGTTTGTTGGTTCCTCCTTTTTCTTCTCGGACCTACAATCTTTAGAAATATGACCCAGCTTTCCACAATTATAGCATTTTACGGAGTAATAGTCCTTAGCAACATGCTCATTCTTTCCACAATTATAGCATTTTATCGAGTAACAATATTTGGAAATATGTTCATTCTTCCCACAATTATAACATTCAATATTGTTTGTGTTTGTCCGGCCACCCCGAGCCTGTCCTTGGCCATGCTAGTTCTGTTGACCGTCTTGCTCATTTCCTCGTCCTCATTTTCCTCTACCACCACGACCTCTGTCTTTTCCTCGACCTCTGGTACTCTGAGCATAGAACACATTCTCCTCTTTTATTGTCGCCTTTGTCTGGAGAGCCTGTTCAACGGACTCCCCCTTCTTGTTTTTCCTTCTTTGCTTATGCGCTTCTAGGGACCCAACATACTCTTCAAGGATGAGCGTTGATAGATCCTTGGACTCCTCTATTGCACACACGATGTTCTTAAAATCATCTGTCAATGATCTTAAGATTTTTTCAACAACTCGATTTGATGAAAAACTCTCACTATTCTGATTCAGCTTGTTCACCACGGTCTCCACCCGAGTAATGAACTCAGATACGCTTTTAGGCTCTTTCATCCTCATGTTTTCCAGCTCGCTCCTAAGGGTTTGAAGTCGAACTTGTTTCACCCGTTCATCTCCTTTGTTTGCTTTTCAAGTGTATCCCATGCTACTTTGGAAGATTTTGCGTTAGCTATCTTCTCAAAGCCGGATTCGTCGACGACTCGGTATAGTAAATACAAAGCCGCCTTGTCTTTAGCTCGAACGACCTTCAATGCGTTCAGCTGAGCATTTGAATACCCATCTGTGTTCGCTGATTCCTCATACCCATTCTCGACCACATCCCAGTTATCTTGGGAGCCGAGAAGAGCCTTCATTTGTACCTTCCAATTGTCATAGTTGGTGTCTTTCGTCAACTTGGGTAGCAGAATGTCATTGGTTAGACTTGCCATTTTCTCTCAAGTGTTTGTACTCAACTCACACACCTCACAAAGCTCTGAGTCGCTCCTCTCTCTTTCTCAGTCAGCACACTGCGGCGTTCTCTCTTGAGGCTTGGTGGGTTCTCTCACGTTTACCTCACATACAAGCTCCGATGCCAATTTGTTGGTAACAGGAAATGAAACAACACTCTCAATATTTCTCCTGATACTATTACAAATGAGTTGTTACAAGTATTTATGGCCAAAATATTTACCTCTCCAAATCCCAAAAGTAAATTATGATACTTATTAAATAGGTTTACGACCCATTGATTATACCACTCATAATTTAAATCATTAATATTATTTTAGGAATATTAAACATCTAATTTAAGTTTTACAAACATGCTAACCATATATGCATGACTACATATCTTATGTTACAAAAAATATAATTTGTAAACAAACCCAAGGTAAGATTTATTTATAGTGTGGTTGATGCGAGATTCTCTCGACTTTTCTAACCTTTTGTGGACGGTTTTAAGCTAGTCCCAGAACACAGGCATTATTAACCCCAGATTTTATTCTTCTAAGAAAACATGATTGATTTACAGCAAAAGAGTATCATGATTTATGGTTGAGAGTACTAGTTTGACTGTAACCTCCGATTTTATTCCAGTATCAAGATTTATGGTTGACGAGCTAGTTTGAATATATATATATATATATATATATATATATATATATATATATATATATATATATATATATATATATATATGTCCACCCACCACCACATGTATACGTGTTCAAACAAAGGCTCCAAGTCTTATTGTTCAAATCACAAAATATGTTTATCAGTTACATTTAATCCCACTTTTCTTTTCCTCCCATTATTGTTAATCAAAGGTTGTAAAGAAAAGCACCTTAAATAAAATTTTCATGGTGCTTCATCCTGATGCTAATTAAGACCATTAAGACAGTTGAGTCAACAGTTGCATTCACATGGTGGGTTATGGTACAAATGAAACAAGATAGTTGATAATTTGAACTATAACCCATGTTTATTCATATTATATTCATAAAATGATTGATTTAAAATAAAATTGATTAAAAATCATACAACCGTATTTATTAATATTATATTTATAAAATAATTAATTTAAAATAAAATTAATTAAAAAATATTTTATATTAATAAATGAAGTGGTTGAAGGGATGTTTGTTAATTTTATTTTATTTTTTCATGAAAAAAGTTGAATACACAACAGTGTAGTCAATGATTGGAATATAGAAGTGAATTTGATTGGTGCAGTGATAGTTTGGGTTACTCCAATTTGGGCCCATTTTCTTTTTCTTTTATACGCTTGGTAGCTTTGAACTATCTTAATCAATGGTAGTGACGTCTTGCAAGTTTGGGTGTCCTACATGTGTTGATTGAGGAATGTAGAAGGTAGAATGGAAGAATGCTGATTCCGTCCTGGCGTACGTTTTCTCTCTTGGCGTATTGACTCATCGTGATATATAACGACTGAATGACACAAATTAAAATGGGGTTTCATTTCATGGAATGTACGATGCCAACTAAAAAGTAAAAGCATGCATGCATGCAGTGTGGCATATCTTCCCCGGCCCTCGGAAAAATATTTAGTATTAATTAGAATATTATTAATTCCTACACTGCTATATTTTATTTTACCTCCTTTCTTTCTCATCAACTCTCTGCATATATATAGAGTTGCCTTGTGAGGCCATCCTCACCATCACCACCCACCTTCTCTGCCTCTCATCTAAGGGTTCAGCGGAGTTCGGAAGAAGCTAATTAAGCTTTCTCCCTTTCTCCGCCACATAGTCAAAAGGAGACCAAACATGGTTATCACTCACCATACTTTGGCATTTGCATTTGGCATGCTAGGTACCTACCATGCTCTTATTAATTAATACCCAATCCCTCTATATCCCTTCTTATTGCTTCAAATATCCTTTTTACCCTATTAAAAATTTATGAAATTTATATGTATTTTTTTCTCCCCATTACATGCTTATTGTGTGACGCTTTAACCCAACAGCTTTTTATATCGATGTTCAAATATTACATCAGGCATTCGATTGATTTATGTTGAGTCCATAAGATCATTTCCAACTATTAATGCAACTGCAACTGGAGCTCAGAATTTCTTTGAAATTAAAGCAGCTCTTTTGCTCCATGAACAATATATTTGTACCCGTTGTTTGTATTAAGCTAAGGAATTGTTCTCTTTTTGATGCACATGCAGGTAATGTCATTTCGTTCTTGGTATTCTTGGCTCCAGTGTGAGTACATCGTTATCTATCTATCTATCTATAATTACATTCAGTTGACGATTTTATATTAAAATAGTAAAGAAAGATTAAACCAATTTAGGTTGACAATACTTATCACAACTGAACATATTTGAATATTGCAGGCCAACATTTTACCGAATATACAAGAAGAAATCGACGGAAAGTTTTCAGTCACTGCCTTACTTGGTGGCATTATTCAGTTCAATGCTTTGGTTGTACTATGCGTTACTTAAAAGAGATGCTGTTCTTCTCATTACCATTAATTCATTTGGATGTGTTATAGAGATCATCTACATCGTCTTGTACATCATCTATGCAACCAGGGATGGTAGGGTAAGCATATATCCTGTGCAGACTTAATCAGTCTAGAATTCAGGCACATGCACACATGCATGTTGGTTCCATTTTAGGCACTAAAACTTGTTCATTTGCTTCAACTGCAGAACTTGACTGTCAAGCTATTTTCGGCGATGAATATTGGCTCCTTTGCTTTGATCCTCTTAGTCACAAACTTTGTTGTGCATGGTCCCCTCCGTGTCCAAGTCCTCGGATGGATTTGTGTTTCCATTTCAGTCAGTGTCTTTGCAGCACCGCTAAGCATCGTGGTATGCAGAATTCCTTATTTGATTGATCCAAGTGTTTATAAATTATTAAATTGCATATATACTTCAATATATATCTTATTTTTCTCGCGCTTGCAGGCACAAGTTGTTCGCACAAAGAGTGTAGAGTTTATGCCTTTCAATTTGTCATTTACCCTAACATTGAGTGCCATAATGTGGTTTGGTTATGGTCTCTTTCTCAAGGACATATGCATCGCTGTAAGTGTTATCGTACAAATACGATCGATGAATCGTTTTAACATTCAGCCACTGACTATTTTTTCTTCTTGTGTTGTGAATGAATATGTACAGCTCCCAAATGTGCTTGGTTTTGTGCTGGGGTTACTTCAAATGGTGGTTTACGCAATTTACAGAAAAGGAAATAAGAAGAGTAATACAAAGGAAAAGAATCCAATGGAGCCACTGAAGAACATTGTTGTAGCGAGCCCGTTGGGAACTGGAGAAGTGTTTCCTGTGGAGGAAGATGAAGATGCAAAAAAGAGCGAAGAAGTTGATAAAGAGGAGAAAAAGAGTGAAGAATGCGCGGTCTAAATGATTTATGCTACTGTCTCGTGACTAGACTATCTACTTTTATCTCTGCATGTACTAGCCATCTCAAAATTACTGGTCTACTCCAGTTATTGCTTTTATGTCATTAACGCGTGTATGAGACTCCCACCCATACTTACACTTTAGGTTTGGTTTGTAAAAATTTCATCCCTCAACTTTGGTTTATTTGTTTAAAAAAAGTCTCGTCGAGATCTTCAGCTACTTTCTCTCATTTTAAGAAAATAAAGTTATTGAACTTATTAGTATTTTTTATTTTCGCGACTTTATTTCTTAAATTATTTTAACTATCAGTCTAAAATTTAATAATAGATAAATAATCTACAAATAAACATATGTGCTCCACACGTGAAATATCCAAATAACATTCTAACTCTATATTATAATCAAGTAAAAATATTCACAATATCACGACTACTAGAAAAAAACTTAAAAATTAAATTTGTTACTTTCAGCAAATAAATAAAAATGAATATATAAATAAATAAACAAATACAAACTAGTTAAATCCTCGGCATCAATTTAAATAAATAAATTATTTACATTCTGTTGATGTCGAATTTATAAATTTTTAACTGAAAACTTATAAAGTAAATAAGTTCAGTATGAAATTTAAATTTAGTTAACCAAATATTTAAATTCCAATAGTTTACAAATGAATATATAATGGTTGTAGCCCCTCTGGATCATCACAATTTCATAATAGATATCTCGGAGTAATTTAAAACGGAAATATTATATGAATGAAAGAAATCAATTAATTTAGGTTGGGTGGACAAAAACTCAAACCAATAGTTACATTCATAGATGTTTGTATAAGTATAGTAGTAATATATGATGTTTGTGTAACCAAATATTATACAACTGATGATTTTCTTTTCCAATTTGAGTTTGAAACATTAATTCCAGACTAAAAATGTACTCATAGAAAGGCAACATCAAATAAAATTACGTTTGATTGGTATTGTTTAAAAATAAAATTAATTTTATCAACATATGTTAAACAAAACAAAAAAATATAGAAGCATAAATGATGCATATTATAAAAGCATAAACAAATGTTGCCTTGGTTGAGTGTGATTTATTTTGTAGAAAGGGGACATAGCTCCTACGTGCGTGTGGTGTGTACTATTTAGAAGAAGAGTAGTGATGGTGGAGGAGCTCTGTGGGAAAGTGAACATTGAGAATAAACCTTCATTCATGGTGTTGTTCAGAGTCGGATATGCAGGATTCCCTCCACTATTCTAACCTTTTGTTAGGTATTAATCAGTGACCACAGATTTTATTCTTTGAAGAATCAGCATTCATTTACAGCGCAAAAAGCATCATCGCTCATGGATGTTTCACTGTGACCCCTGATTTTATTCTGCATGGTATCCTGGTGGAGGCGACAAGTTTAACTCATCTCTGCCCACCACTAAATCAAAGGTTGTCTTGTGTGTTACTGTTGACATCACTACATTCAATATGTTGGTTCCCTCCATCCATCCTCATTAGTTTATGATATTGTTCCTTAATCCCTCCTCTTTTTATGTTCCGAAAGTGAAGCATGATTTGTGAACCTGAGTAAATCAGCTTTCTGCGCCAAAAATGGACCTCATGATGCCAATTAACAACCTTTAAACCATGCATCCTCCTCTCTTTCCCATTGATTGTGGAAAAGGTGAGCTGAAAATTCCAAGCTTTAAATCAATTAAATATATGAACCGTCTATATTATTTCTCCATTTCTTTAACATGTCGCCCATGCTCCCCCTCCTCTCGCCTTCATATCTATGCTTACACATCCACTGTTTATACACCATTCATCCTCTCTATCCTGGTCAAACACCTCAATCAATTCTCTTTGTAGTCTATGTGAATCATTCTTTCTTTTAATTAATGGATTTCAGTATATATATCACCATTAAATATTTTTTATGGTCATTTAATGTTTTATACTGCACAAAATTCTCCAACTTATAAAAGAAAGTGTACAAGTTTTACTTATTTTTCAAGATTCTTTGACGTGTCAAATAAGAATGAAAAGCAATCAAAAGTTAATTGAAGGTTATTGATTCACTATTTAACATAGAAAATGTAATTTTGTCTGGAGATTATTTTAGATAAATATAAAGGATCGATTGCAAAGTATTCGAGCAAAATCACGTTGTAATTAACATTATGCAAGTTTTGCTAAAAATGCATATAATCTTAAAATTATCTTTTATATATATATATATATATATATATATATATATATATATGTATGTATGTATGTATGTATGTATGTATGTATGTATGTATGATGGTTTTTATTTAAGAGCTGTTAAGTCATGTGTCTATTTAAGATTCATTCTGGTTTAATGGTTTTCTTTTTTTCTATGTTAGTAATAGCAAAAATACCGATTAAAAAAATTATATAATTCATTATATATATATTGTTTTAATTATTTTTAAAAAGTATATGTTATATTATTTTTATCTTTTAAACGTAATAAATTTGGCTATCCCTTTGCTACGCCTGGGAATGGTTTTTATTATTAGTATAATTACTACTTATACTAGCCTTGATAATACAATTTCGTTTTACGTATAAAACTTATAATAAAATAAATAGTTTTATTTCCATTAAATACTTAATCTTCTGGTTTTTGTAATACTAATCTAGTTAATATTCATCATTTCTGAAGATTGAAGAAACGGCTGAGTATATAATTAGGAGTGATTGGGACTTGAAGCATTTGCAAGATAGCTAGCTACAGCTAGTTCAATCAAGTGTAGTGTCTAAACAGTGATGATTATGTAGCATATCTCAATTCATAGCAATAATAATTAACACTGTATATCTATGTAACAATGTGGGCTTGAACCAGTTACATGACATGACACAACATAAATCGATTAGATAATATCTTTATCCTTAATCACATAATCGATCAGATAAGATTTATGACGTATAAGAATTAATCTAAATAGTTTAACAACTCTTTTCTCTATATATTTATGGTCACCCATACCACACCACACAACCTTTGCCTAGACTGGGACCACATGATTTAATTGCTTATGCGAAATTGCATACTCATTTTGCCACCTAAATATGGCTTAAAGCTTGATTTGGAGAAGAAAATAAAAACAAAAACTAAGTTTGATAAGAGTTTGGAACTCTTTGTTATTGCTTTACATAATTGTTTGTTTTCTTTATTGTTTTGTGATAAAAGTGCTTTACCCCAGCCAAATCATACGATACAGAAATAGTATAGCTACCTCCAACCATATCTTTCCCACTCCAGTGAAGATTAAATTTTGGCTCTGCTCATCGGTGAACGTGGGTTGCTCTTTGCTCGTCACTAGTATTCATCTCTTTTGGCAGTTTACATTAATTATCATTCTTTCTCATGCCTCTAACATTTATGCTTCTCTTCGATCTTGTTTCCCTCACATGCATTCACCCCAAAGAAACAGTGCCAAGGTAAATTTGTAATGGGTGGCTACTTTATTTTACCCTACACAGACCCCTAGTTTAGTTTTGCAGGAGGATCGACCAAGTTAAAAGAATCTTGCAACTTGTTATCAGTTGTGACCTCCCCCTCCAAAAGATAAATAAATAAAGAATCTCCAAAGTTTATACTGTATGTATGATATGGTATTTAATATTGTGAGATAACAGTGATGCCACCCTCCCGTACATACGTTTAGTGGTATATTTTAATTTGCAGATACTCCTCCTTGCTTTTCCTTTTTTATTGCTGCTTTGCTACCTCACTTCTCCATTTTGCGCTTGTATATATATAGTGCTCTTGCAAAGAGATCCTCACCAACGTCACTTCCTGCATGAGACTCACGGATTGAGCTTTCCAAAGAAACTACTTAAGGTTTCTACCTTTCCTTGCCCTACTTATTTCTTCTGCAGTTGTGGTTCCCCAAAGTCTAAAGCACAAACAACATCAATGGCTATCAGCCACAGTACTTTGGCATTTGCCTTCGGCATGCTTGGTATTTAATTGATTCCTTTCCTTATTTGTTCACTTTGAGAACTATACTATCTTCCACTAGCTAATTATTTCTGTTTATGATGCACAGGTAACGTCATTTCGTTCTTGGTATTCTTGGCTCCACTGTAAGTATATGCATGAACTCTTGTCCCCCTTACCCTTAATAAATGAAACATGAAAACAAAAAAGGAAAGGGTCATGATTCGATTGTAGTTAATGAATAATCATTTACATTTCAGAACAACATTTTACCGAATATTCAAGAAGAAATCAACTGAGGGGTTTCAATCACTGCCTTACCTGGTGGCATTGTTCAGTTCCATGCTTTGGTTGTACTATGCCTTACTCAAAAAAGACGCTTTTCTTCTCTTGACTATTAACTCATTTGGATGTGTCATAGAGATCATCTACATCATCTTGTACATCATCTATGCGACCAGGGATGCTAGGGTACGTACGATCCATCTATATACAATAATTTCATGAAATTTAAACATATATATTTTTTGTGTTTTATAACAACTGAGCATATCTTATGTGATGTATGTTTTTCCTTTCCAATTTCTAATATATACTTAGTTGTTCATCATGCAGAACATAACTTTAAAGCTATTTTCGGCAATGAATGTGGGCTCCTTCGTTCTGATTCTCTTAGTCACACATTTTGCCGTGCATGGTTCCTTCCGTGTCCAAGTCCTTGGATGGATATGTGTTTCCCTTTCGATCAGCGTCTTTGCAGCACCACTAAGCATTGTGGTACGTAAATCCCAATTCATAAATTTTGATGCATGCGTATTAATAAATTCTTGGACTAATTATTTCGTGGTGCTTTGTTCCATAGGCACAAGTTGTTCGAACAAAGAGTGTTGAGTTCATGCCTTTCAATTTGTCATTCACCCTCACATTGAGTGCCATAATGTGGTTTGGTTATGGTCTCTTTCTCAAGGACATATGCATTGCAGTAAGCATTGTTTTTCTGATACAACTAACTAAATTAGTTTCTTGCTAAAGTCACTCATAATAATGACAAAATTTTGGTTCTTATTTTTCTTGTGTTGTGTGTAGCTTCCAAATGTACTGGGTTTTGCACTGGGATTAATTCAGATGCTGCTTTATGGCATTTACCGGAATGGCAATAAGAAGGGAGAGAAAATGGAAAAGAAGGCACGGGAAGAGCCACTGAAAAGCGTTGTCATAGCTAGCACTGGGCCTTTAGAAAGTGGTGATGAGGTGTTTCTTGTGGAGGAAAACCAGCAAGGAAAGAAGAGCAAAGAAAATAATGAGGAGAAGGAGAAAAGTGATGAGCCTAACGATTGCTCAGTCTAATTGCATGCATATATGCATGTATGCTATTATTGTTTCGTGGGCACCACCATGGCCATCACCATCATCATCACCGTGACCCACCACTATCTACTTTTAATCTACCTAGCTATTCCATTAAGTTGCTTTGTAGCTATCTAAATTTAAACTTAATTCTCATTCTATCTTTTAACTTAATCTAACCGTTGCATTTCTCACTATAAATCTATTTATTCATCAATGATGGTCCATTTTCTCTTTCATATCAGAATTACTAATTCATCTCTTAATTGACAAAACAGTGATCAACTAGATAATTATTTTAATTGACCAAATTGCTCCAAAGATTGGGAGCTTCTAGCGTCTTCCGAGCTAATCATGAACAACCAATGCATCATCACTTTCAACTAATACGTATTGTGTGGCGTATTGAATTGTTTTATGTTTTCTTGTACGTGTTAAATGTTGACCAACCACCTTTTCCTCCACAAAAGGCTTTTGTTTTAAAGCATTATTAATAATACATTTTTTTTACAAATACTATTTAGCTTTGTTTTTAGCATAAAGAAGATACGAAGGATATAATTTTTGCCTTTTTTATTATGAAGGTTTTGAAACCGTATCCAAGACCAATTCTAAACATTATAATCTAAACAAATTACTCTTAAAATTAAATGATAAATTTTTTTCTTTTCAAAAAAAAGAAAGATAAGATACATAGGAGAGCCAAACATACATGTAGATGCATGCCTTACAAAACTTGCTAGAACTACATACTAGAAAAGGAAAAGGGTAACTTTGCACGGATCCATATTTCAAAATACTGTTAATTTAAACATTATTTCAATTGATCTATGATGTTCAATTTATTTATCATTCTAAACTATCGCTGAAGTAATTTTAATTTACCATATATTATTTAATCAGTTAAAGAAATGACAACATTTTAAACTGAGACAAAGAAAAAAGGTGATATATTTAGTTGGAGGGGAATGTAAAACGGGACCTGGCCTTCGGATGGCAATGTTAAGCGGGCTAAAAATTCCCGGGTGAATTAGGGTACTTGATAGTGTACGCGATAGATTTTAACTCATAATCATGTTGCACAGACTCTTTCACTAAAGAAGCAAGACTTTAAAATTTTACTGCTGAAGTAGGCACGTTAAGTACGATTATTACCAATTAGTTGATAACAACTATTGCTGATACTATACTGAGATTATCATAAACACATGGGAGAAGCATTTTGTCTTCGTATGTCTACTGCAGCAATCTGCCAAAACTTGGGGTGTTCCAACCAGTGACCGTGACTAGTCCTGGTAAATAATGTACAGAAAGTACAGTAAATAAATAAAAGGGAAAACAAAGTGCCCAAAAGGTTATGTTAGAAAAGATTTTGTAAAATGGTTCGTACATGTCGCAGCTATGGAAAGTATTGGCAGCTAGGGAGATGCTGAACAAATTAGAACCTAATCTTTTGGCCAAAATTGGCTAGTCGTGTTACCCCAGGCAAGCTACCGATATTTCTTTTTCCACATTCCAAAGTTTTTGAAAGACGGAGCTGGGAAACTAAGCCTTAGTTAGAAACATAACTGCTCTGCTGCAAACTTTGTTGTCTTTTCTGTCTCAAGTTCTCTCCCCACATCTTGGCTTCAGCCACAGCACGTTCTCTATCTAGATCTCTGTTTAACATTCTTGCAGTTTCTCGTGGGGAGTCATCTTTCTCGGATCCTTCCAAGTCCCATCTGCGTCCAGATCCCCCAGCTTCATCATTTTTCAGTATTCTTCCACCTTTATCATCTCTGTTCCTTTTATCATCACTTGACCCCCTATAACCATGCCCACCATTGTTGGGGTCATATGCCTGGTTTGCCAGATAAGAGAGGGCTGTCACCACATCTCCAATCAGAGGGCGTGTGGCAGCCGATTCTTGGATGCACATCGATGCCACAGCTAGCGCCTGGTAAAGACCCCGCATGGGAAACCGTCCCTGCAGCCTGGGATCAGCCAACTTTGAAAACTTCCTGCGGTCGTTAAAAAGTGGACGTGCCTGCACAAACATACATAAAAAACCACAATCACATCTCCATTTTAATTTACAAGAGCTTATGCATGCTGAACTAACTACAATGACAAGGAGAGAATAGAGCAAAACCCATGTGACAAGATTCTGTTCTCCATGGGGCTGGGTGCTGTCAATTGCTTTGCGTCCAGTAATAAGCTCTAAGAAGACAACCCCAAAGCTATATACATCAGACTTCACAGTCAGCTGTCCAGTCATAGCATACTCAGGAGCGCAGTAACCATAAGTTCCCATGACTCGGGTAGAAACGTGTGATTTGTCACCAACAGGACCAAGCTTCGCAAGACCGAAGTCAGAAAGCTTAGGGCGGTACCCTTCATCAAGTAATATGTTAGATGACTTGAAGTCTCTGTAAATGACAGGTGGATTTGCCTTGTCATGCAGGTACTCTAATCCTTTTGCAGCACCAGCAGCTATTTTCATTCTAGTGTTCCAATCTAGTGGCTCCTTATCAGGGGGAAGGTCTGCACAGAGATGAATAAACAAAGTTAAACATCAACTAAAATCATGACTACGACATATTGTTTAAGAAGGCATTTTACATATAGCATGCAATTTAAAATATAAGTAAAATTCTATTAATAAATTACATGCTTATGAGTGTATAAATTATTTAAAATTTGGAATGCAAGACATTAAGATAATATCACACGATTAACTGATTAAATTGACAAAATTTAATATTTGAAAAAAGTTAGTAAAGGAGTAAGTTTATCGAGTTTGACAATTGAGCTTGTGTGTATAATGATAGGATCAAATGTCAACCGACACCAAACTTGTTAAAATAACAGCTCCAACAACTTTTCATCGAAAGCAAATTTAATCAATTCAACCAATGAGTTAAGTAAAATTATCATGATGATTATGCACACAAAATTTTATACAATTTAGATATTTGCAATGTAATCTACTATTCTATTGGATTGATAAAATTTACTTTGATGAAAAGTTACTGGAGATGCATTTTACTAAGCTCGACACATGTAGGTATCATTTGATTATACATATACATGCATACATATATATTAAAATTACTAAATAGTTCATAAATTAAATTTATTTTAACATAGATTATATTTCTATAATATAAGTAAATGTACCCTATATAAGATTGCATACTTATAAATGTTCAATTTATTTAAAAGTTCACATTCATGATTATCAAGATAATATCACATAATTTAACCATAAGATTTACCAAATTCATATTATAGCAAAAGTTATTAAGCGGATTAATTTTGTAAGACTTACTCCTATAGTAAGTTAATTTCTTATATTCGTTTGTATATAAGCTTTTTCTTTTGAAATAAGATAAACTCTTATTCTACCATGTGTTTTGGCATCCAAAATTGTATATTATGTTTTAAGATAATATTTTGGGTAAAAAAAAAAAAAAAAGTCTTTCACCATGATTTTTTATTTTTTTTAATTTGAAGTGTTTGTTTATGGAATTTTGGGTAGAGCTGTAAGAATTCCCATTTTAGTTCTGGCATGGCCTGATAGAAAAGCCTAGCTTGAACCTGAAAGCACAGCCTGATGATTACCACTACTGGTTGTGTTATGCTACTCAGTGGAACTACTCATCCGAGAGTGAGTAGTTATCACTGAACTGGTGTTAAGACTAATATATTTAAAAGGAAAACTACAAGAAAACTTCCCGATCATACCTGATGATGATTTTATTGAGGAAGCTACAATCTGAAGGTATGCTCATGCCATCTTATTGTACAGAATTTTATAGTTTCTATGCAACTCATCCAAAACAATTATGGAAAAGGAAATATAGAATGTTATATGAAGGAACCCTTAAAATAATGAAATAAGAAAATCAGGAACTCAGGAACTCATAACAGTAATCATGCGTTAGAAAGGAAGAACCTGACCTGAAACATAAAATTAAAAGGACATAACATAAGGAACATTGTTATTCCCATGCCAGGGTGTAAAAGCCGCATACAAATATTTATCATGATAATAGATTCACCAAGACAACAAAAAACCTTGCAAGAGTTAAAACCTGAATAGAAAATTACTATCAATTTAAGTAGATATGTAAGAAAGCAAACAAACAACATACATAGTGGCGAATACAAAACATGCATTACTGGGCAAGAGGAACAGCTCACTCCCTACCTAGAAATGTGATTCTATAAGAGAAAGTCAAGTGTGTCAAAGAATATAGTGACCACTATCAGAATTTAATGTCAATTCAGTATTTTTATCATGATAATAGATTCACGAAGACAACAGAAAACCATTGCAAGAGTTAAAACCTCAATAGAAAATTACTATCAATTTAAGTAGATATGTAAGAAAGCATACGAACAACATACATAGTAGGGCATACAAAACAAGCAATACTGGGCAAGAAGAACAGCTCACTCCCTACCTAGAAATGTGATTCTACAAGAGAAAGTCAAGTGTGTAAAAGAATATAGTGACCACTATCAGAATTTAATGTCATTTCAGTATTTTCTGCACATAATTATTTATATTTTTATGCATCCGAACCAAAACACATAACAGTAATTTAAATGTTTCAATCATTTCATCATGGATGTAAGTTTCTGTAATATCTGACACTATCAGAAATGCTAAATTTGTAATAACTTTTGATATTTCCCTTTATTGTATTGGTATTAGCTATTGGTTTCGGTTTTCAGGGGATTTCTAAAAGAGAATTTCCAATTTTTAATATCTGAGAAACATTAACCTAAAAGAACTTCTAACCAAAGAATTAGGAAGAAAGAGCAAAACAAACATACCATGAAGGTGATCTTCCAATGATCCCAAAGGCATAAATTCATAAACAAGGAGGCGTTGTTCCCCATCCGCACAGTATCCAATCAGATTCACAAGGTTAGGGTGATGCAGAAGACTGAGCATGAGAACTTCTACAAGGAATTCCCTATTACCCTGGAGACCATTTTTGTCTAACTGTTTGACTGCAACAATCTGTACAGCTAAATAATCAGATGTTAGGACTCACTAACCACTAGAGGTCTCAACCACATAAAAACTCTGATTATTTTGCATTTAAAATCATGTATTGTCGTCTTTGATTGAAAAGGAGAGTTATAATTTGGACAAAACTTTAGAGGGGTGAAAGGCAAACCATTTCAATTTCTGCAAACAGTACCTACTTAAATTTGGGTTCCTGCACAGGACTGAGGGGGGCAACTATTAGTAAGGCTATTGGGGAAAAAAATAATCACAAAATAAGGAGAGAGAGAGAGAAATTAGAACCAAGGCAGGGGTGGTAAATGTTAGGATATCTGATCAAGAAGAAACATGAATTAGGATGTACGAACTAATAGTTTCTTTTTATTTCTTTATCATCCTCCAAGGCATGCACAAGACAACAGCCAAATACTAACTTGTGCACATAAGTATTTGGCAACAAACTAAAATAGATATTTCAGATTTAATCACAGATGATTCTACATTTGCAGGATAGCAACGGAATTAAGCACATCAAAAAAATCATAAAAGCCATCCCTATTTCCCTACTTTATAACTGGGCGTTGTCCCCTTGGAATAGATGGCAGTATATGATGATATAGATCGGTCACCATGGATCTCTGTATTACATTATTGGGAATGATAAAAGCATTGTTGTAAAATAATGGACAAAGGAAAATCAAACTCATTGGTCCTGATGGAAGTGGAATCAAATCAAATATAATGTCTGCGATAAGAAATAATTTTGATATTCTGAGAGTGGGCAAGAGCCATTTATTCCAATAAAGCATTGTGAATGGGTGATGATTTATTCTGTTTCTTTCCTATCGGATGTGTGGAGAGAGTGAAAAGTAGTGATTGTACCTGACCAGTGGTTTCAAGCCTGCCTTTGTAGACCCTTCCGAAACCACCTTCCCCTACAAAGGAGTCTGGCCTAAAGTTTTTTGTTGCAGCTGCAAGTTCACGGAAAGTAAAAGTTTGAGCAGCAATTTGAACGGCGGGTCCATGTCCTTCCTTGGTGTTGGGAGGAGGCAATTCCCTTTTGGAACCTCCATTACTTCTGGACCGTAACTTGTCTGCTCCTGCAATTCCAATTGTAACAGAAAGAATTGATTTGAGTGGAGTCAAGGATCCCCTAGAATTCATCTACTTACACAGTTAATTGATTTGATAGCTTGAAATGGAATCAAGAGAATGAATGAAGGGTGAGTGAGTGAGAACATGAGTGAATAAGTAGAAGGGAATTGATATGGAAGAATAGTTTGAAATGAGATGAAAACTAACCAGAGGGCAATTTGGAAATCTGAGAAGGGAGAGAGGGATTGGGTTGTCGGAGGGGGTGAGGCCGGAGGTTGTGATCCTCCCTCGAAATGGAACTTGAATCGAAACAGGAGAAGCAACCCATTTAATTTAATGTTTATCCCCAATTTCAATCAATCTGCTTTAACACTGAAATTCACAGTTAATAATAAACCTGCAACTCAACGCAATCAACTGCAAAGGAATCGAAACACGTAGCAATAGTGAGTGTTAGAGTTTCTATTCTATTCTTTTCTTTTCTTAAAATTAATATTATTTTATATATCATAGCCATGGGTGGTGGACAAACAGATTTTTGTAAAAAAAAAATTGGTCAAGTACACCAATAATCGAACCCAATATCACCTTCCACGCACGCTCCATTACATATATTATTATCCATTCATATTTCCACTACTCGGCTTTCATGTTTTACTTTTTTTTTTTTCATACTTTCTAATTCATATTCAAAGATTTACATTAATAAAAACAGCATAAATGTTACTTATGTTCTATTAATTGTCTGTAATTGTTACTTACTTATAAGAGAATAAATCAAGTTTATAATCGAAGTTTTTAAAGATTGAATATCAAAATTAAAAGAGTTAAATTAAGAATAAAATATTAAGCTAATGGGTTGAAAATCAAAATTACAAGCTTTAAATATTTATGAGAAGGATGTGTGTACTATTGAAATGGGAGATTGAGACGAACAAATAAGAAATTAAGAGATAGTACAATATGATCAATTGAACATAGAAAATTGAAAATTTGAGAGTATCAAGTTTAAGGTTGCAAAATTGAGAGAAACAAGACATTAAGAAGAAATTATACAATCAAGAGATATGCAGAAGTGATTAGAATCTCATTACGTGACATATACACTTATAAGTATTACATGACAATAAAATGACTCGAGAAAATAGGGAAACAATTATAACGAAGTAATTGTTTATTAATTTTTTTCTCAATATTTTATTTTACTTTATTTTTAATTTTAAAATTGTCTTAGCGGTTGAATATAAAAAATATAAGTAGGGTGAAATAAATGTAAAGAAGGATGATGTTCAAATTGTACGAAGAAATTTGCATTATGAAAAAAATACTATGACACAAACATTTTTCAATGAAGTTCTTTGTAATTTGGATCGCTAATTTTATTGATTTCCTTTGTCATTTCATGTTTTATCCTTGATAATGAATTATATTTTTTATGTAATTTATTTTCTTCGCACATTTATCTTTTGTTATACATTTATTTTCTAGTAATTTATTTTAATCATATTTCTATTATTCTTGTAATTTACTTTAAATGTTACAAATTATATTGAAAATCCAAATTATATGTGAACGGTTCTTAATTGAAATACATTTTATCTTGATTATCAAATTATTGACACTGATCTCATGTACTTTTATTGTTATTGCAATTTACTTTAAATGTTACAAATTATATTGAAAATCTAAATTATATGTGAATGATCCTTAATTGAAATACATTTTATTTTGATTATCAAATTATTGACATTGATCTCATACAAGTCCTCTAATTAAAAGAATACACATGGTGTTTGAATGATTCATCACATATTTGGATATATGTTATTTAATTGAATAACGAATCATTTACACTAGAAACAAATTGATACGCTCGGTGAGACAACCTTATTATATGTTGTCTAGTTTTAGAAGATAATAGTTATGAGATTACAAAGTGGTAGAGTAGTCATGACAAGTCATACACAGGGTTTTGCGCTTAGTTCCACATTAGTGTGGTGTCAAATAGTAGAAATGAGGACCAAAAAATAAGTACTAGTATTGGGCATAATGTTGTGAGTGAAAATGTAAACATTCATGATAATATTGTTGATAAGAATAATGGTAATCAGGGAACATCAGTAGGCATGGCAACGGGGCGGGGCGGGGGCGGGTTTTGCCTCCCCGATCCCCGCCCCCGACTTTTTTAATCATCCCCGTACCGTCCCCGATCCCCGTCGGGGTTAGAAATTAAGTCTCCATCCCCGTCCTCGCCCCGTCCCCGATCTATATTATTTTTAAAAAGATAATTACATTTATAATAAATTAATTTTACTATCTATTTTTTATATATAAATAAATATTTATAATTTTATAATTTATAATAATTATTAATTAAATATACATTTTAATTTATTATATTTATATTAAAATATATGTATGTAAAAGAAATATTTAATCATTTTTTATTTATAACATTATTATTATTATTATTAATATAATACTTGTATTCAAATATTTGAATACTTATAACATTATCATTATTATTATAATACTTGTATTCAAACATTTGATTATATATATAAGTTAATTCATTTTTAAGTTGTAATTTAAAAATATGAAATATATAGTTTATAATGAAATATTTAATAAGTTAATTATTATTCAATTAATTCAAAGTAATAAAAGTGTTGAATTATTGGCAAGCGTACTCAAAATTATCAATCGCAGATATAGTATTTCGATAAAATAAAAGTCGATCCCACGAGGAACAGTTTCAATGGAAATTCCCAATTATGCTTACTAAGTAGATTAAAATAGATTAGGTTTTGCAAATAAGAGTTGAATTGAAATTAAATGACAAAAACTTGTAATTTGTTGAGAAAATATCAATTAAAGGTACTTAGGATTGACTTCCTTCCTTATCCCTCTTTTGTAATGGCTATGTCAATTAAGAACGTCAATTAACCTAATAATGTTGATGCCACCTACTCAAATCATCCATGTTGATTCCTCACACATGAAATTCATAAGAAAACCTAATAAATGTTGATTCCTCACACAATTAATGGATTTTCCAGCATTAGGGTTAGGGTGTTTAAGCACTTGATACATTCATTCCATTCCTGGCAATTAACGTAACAAATATTTTTACCGTGATCTAGAGTTCAAGATATATTTTCCAATCATACATCAAACAATCAAGAATAAATCATTCCAAAGCATAAAGGATAAGAATAACAACATCAAAGCATAGATTAATATATCAAAATATCACCATGATACAAAAGAGTTCAAAGGAAGTGCACCGAATCCTAAGAGAATGAAGTTAGTCACTCATGTTGGCCATTATAATGCTCCAATTGATGAAGAAGAATTGATGAAGATTGGACAAAACCCTAACAGTAGTCGTGTCTCCTCTCCTCCAAGACTGCTTGCTTTTCTCAAAACACAACTTAACTTTTTATAACAGAATTTGGGTCGGGTCTCGCATCATTTATTCGCTTAAGCGCTCTTCTTTCTTTCAATTTTACTCCAATTATGTTGAAAATTATGCTCCTTACTCTTGTATCAAGGTATTCTCGAATTCATCCTATATTGAGAGAAAAATATATTAGAATTAACATAAGTTAAGTGGTTTCATAACAATTCAAGGCATAATTATATCAACTTTTTACCACTTAACAACTCCCCCCAACCTAGAATCTTGTTTGTCCCAAGCAAAGTAGTTTTTCCAAAACAAAATCATCACCTATTATCTTTTTCTCTTCTAGAACCACAACATAAAATTTTCAGAGGTGATGCTCACAACTCCAAATGAAAATAGAACACATAAGCATTCAAGTTATAGAAACCAACAAAGAATAATTAGTCCTCAACTATCCTCAGAGAAGCATGATCTCTCAAATAGAGTTATATATACTCATCTCTAATTCTCACAGGTAAGTGTTTATCTCATTCAATCACTTCATTTAGACAATCCAATATTGATAATCATCTTCAAGCAATCAACAATTGTTAAACAAGACTTAAATCAAAAGGTCTTTTGAGGCTTGTAATGAGGCTTGGCTAAGAAAGAGTTATTGGTTTTTCTGGGATATACAAAAATATTTGAGAAATTCAACTCATATGAATGATTCTTGATTAACAATTCCTCAAGTCAGGTTTCAAACTTTATGCTTTTGTCCCTAACACAATGACAATGAGTTAATAATCTCACAAGTTATTACCCCCCTTTTGACTTTTTTTTTCTTTTGCATGTATCCTTTTTTTGGCTTTGCAAATTTTTAAGCTTTGCTTTTCCTTTTTCTTTACACTTTTTTTTTAATAATAACACCCCAACAATACCCGTAGGACAACAATAGCAATACCCAACAATAAGAAAAATAGTGACATTCATACTCATTTCCTTTCTCAAATATAGGAAGGTAGATAAATATTGTTTAGGCTTAAGGGTTCTGTTTAAGAAACAATATTATTTTTTTTTGGCTCAGAAGGGGTTCAAATGGATGTCCTATAATTAATGCATGGTTGGCTATTTGGCTCTGGGTTATATCTACTACAAAGAAAAAATGCCTTTATCATTTTCAAGTCTTGCTAACATGTAATCACATCAAAGAATCAACCAATATCAGTTATCATCACAAAGTGTTGACACTCAATTTATCTGTTTGTGGTACTCTGCTCACATGGGTTTTGGCTAGCTTCTCCAATTCAGTTAATTCCTAATTTTCCTCATCAATTCCTTTTCACTATCATACTCAATATCCCAAAATCACTTGTTATTGGAAACAATCAAAAATATTTTTCATGTTCTAGATTTGAATTAGACAATAAGCAATAATTTCATATATGACTCTAAAACAAATTATGGGACAACCAAGGAATTCAAAATTTAAAATAAAGCAATTAAAAACATTAAATTAAAAACAAAGGAATTAAAAACATTAAAAGTAAAGTAAGTTTCCTCCCTTATTTTCTTCACTTGTCATGTACTCCTTATCTTGTGCCTCAGCCTCAACTGCAGACTTTCTCACCAGAAAAGTTGGACTATTCCAAGGCTATTGAAGTAAGACTTCAAAGTCTTGAGG